ATATTTCTATATTTAGTATTGTTATTATTATTATTCACATCCATATTTTTATTAATTTGTTATTGTTGTTATAAATCCCATTACATTTATTTTTGTTTTATTTTATTATTGTAATAATTATTACTTATATTAGTATTGTTTCAATTATTAAAATTGATATTCTATTATTAATTTCATTGTTATTGTTCTAATCACTTTTTTTTACTACTATTATTATGATTGCTATTTCTGTCTTATTGTTATTATTATCATTATTTTTATTAACGCTGTTTATATTTAGATTTAGAATTTTTAAATTTTCTTGTTTTACTTGTGATTTTTAAATTTTATTTAAATAACCATAACAGATTTTTGCCAAACACTCTCAATTAAAATTAAGTCGTACACCGAATCCTTATAGAGCTTAGTAGTATAAAGGACTCTCAAATTATTTATAATAGCTAATTTTATAATTTTGATACTCTGGTATAGGGCATTTTAAATGTGTCATAAAGTGAGATCTCCTTTCCCATAAAGTATATATATTCTAGAACAGTGACTTGATTTAGCTATGTCCGTTCGTCCGTCTGTCCCTCTTTCTGTTTCTATGCTAACTTCACATAGGCATTTCTGGAACCGGCCGGATCGGACCACTGCATCATAAGCTACCATGATCGGACAAAAAATATGTTCCTGTTTGAAAAGCTACAATACTAAATTGAAAAGTATTGTAGGAAAAAACATTAACTAAATTAACCAAATCCGACAATCGAATCGAACATTTGATCTAACAAAAACGTCAATTGTCTGCCAATTAAATATTTGTTGAGGCGACAAATGCAATTTAGCATAACAAAATTAATTTACTGTCGGTTTTTTAGGCCTGAGAAACTGATTAGAACTCTTAATTCTGTTTGCTTGGCAATCATTATAAACATCTCGCAAAAGTGTACAAAACATTTGTGATTTTTGGGAATCACGTGGAAATACGTTCTGGCAGGTGTTTACATTTTAGTTTCATCAAAGCGCTTTGTAAAGTGTTTATGCTCCAGTTGTAGAGTACAGCAGAAAAGAAGCTGCAACTGGCACACGGATGCAGCTCGAATGTGGCCTAACGATTTTGGCCACCATTTTTGGCGGGCGCTGCGTGTAGATCGAGCAGCAATTTGCATATTTGCTGTTTGTTGCTTGCTGTTGTTGTCTCGGAATCAGTTCGACGTGGTCCGCGTCTGTGTCTGTGTCTGAGATCTCCAAATTATGTCGTTATTTGTGCCATTTTTGGCAATAGCTGCGACGACGATGAGGCCAATGATAAATTTACAGCACTTAGCTGCAGACGTTGCCGCTTGCCAGATGCCAGTTGCACGATGCCTGTTGCCTGTTGCCGTCTGTCGAGCTGTCAGTCAGGAGTATGTCAATTGGCTTGCTAATGGCTGCCAATGCATCAGCTTATGATGTGCTTGGTCGGTTGGAGGGGGCGGATGGCAGTGGAATAGACGCTCTTAAAGTGTTGTAAACGATGTGGCAAGGCGACGGGCCTAACGAGCGGCACAAATACACACGGCATTTATCATAAACGGCAACTCATAAATGCAAAAGAGCTTTCCTGCCATTTCTTCTTTTTTTTACACTTGCCAATCAGAGAATTGCGCACTGCTGCCCCAGCATAACTGTTTAGGCCTGGGGAGCCAAATGCAGCGCTTGTTCAATTAATTTGGCCAGCCCCAAAATGGCTCGAGGTAAGGAAGCAGCCAGCAGAGGAGAGCCAAGTGCAACAATTGAATAGATAATAACTCACGGGAGCCCCACCTACCCAGCAGCCAGCCACCCACCACATACATTTGGCCAAGCAACTAGCCTAGCCACAAGCGACTGACCGTTGACCAAGCCAACAAAATGTTGCAGCAGCAGCAACAACAACAAAAACAACTGAAACTGCAACTGCAACAACGGCCTGTTACTGTTTGCTGCTGCTGTCATATTCAAATTGCTAATATGATTGGTGTTTACAGATTAGAAAACAAATATTTCACAAATATTACCACTAATAATTTGTTGTTGTTGTTGCATGCGGCGTCATGTTGCAAGCGCATGATCATCATCAACAGCATCATCATGATGATGCTGCGCAAGTGCGGCGATAACCTTTTGACTCTCTCTCTCTCTATCTCTCTCTCTCTCTCTCTGGTCGGGAAGCGGGAAAATGCGACTGCATCTTGGTTTTTGGGTTTTGAAGTCGGACCTGGGACTTGCGCCTCTCGTGCAAAACTGACAAATTGAATGAATAAAAGAGCAACAAGTGGTCTCCGCTCCGCATGGACACACTCCGGACAGAGGACAGACGGCATAGTTAAACATTTTGAATGAAAAACGCCAAGAGTGAAACGCCGACTGCGACGCGCTCTACGTTGCACGTTGCACGTTGTGTTTTGACTGCAGTCGAGGCGCAAAAACATAAATCGAAACACTTGCTGCGTGTGCCGGGCAACAGTCGCTGCCCCAACTCTACTGCCAAACCAACACAGCTCACCCCACCCCACCACACCTCCTCAACCCTGTACCGCCCACCCGCAGCAGGTTCCATTTGCGCTCGGTAGGTGTTGCCCCAGCTGAAAAAAAGGCGCACAATGCGCTGTGCTGTGCTGTGTCCAGGGATGAGGCTGGGGCAGAGGCCACTTTGAAATCAAGTCGAAAATTGCAATTCCAAAATGTTTGCCCTCGGCTAAAGTGGAGTGGAGTGCTGCATTGGGTGACGCTGACGATTCAACCGATTCACGCTGTACTCTTCTCCACGCTGCTTGGTCAGTCATGTGGTGGCATCTATTGGGCCAGGCCAGGCCACATGTGGCATAGCTCGGTACAATCTGTGCTTTTCCTGCCAGCCAGCTATCCAGCCAGCCTGCCTGCTGTTGCATTGTTGCAGTTGTTGTGTGTCGTTTAATGCGTGGCCGCCTCGCGATGCTAAGGCGCTTTATTAATTCACTCGACGGTTGCTTAATGTTTTTGCATCTTTTGTACATATGAATACTCTAACTTAAAGCATGCCAGCCAGTTGTAGAAGTTCGCTTAAATGCAAATGTACATACCTTTCAAGTTTCTTACTGTTTCTTTTACATAAATAGTTCAGCGGGAATTTTTAATTGAACAAAATGTAGTGCCCATCACTTTTGACTCTAACAATGACATAATTATTGCTGAGACTTTACTGATTAAAAACAAACTAGCAAGTTTCGTAATATGCCAATAAGCTTCAAGAAATATTTGAACGTTTCAAAAGTTCTTAAAATACGTTTTTTTTACGGATAAACTTCGAATGTATATGCTAAAATGCTAAGCAAGTTGTCGTCAGCTCTTTAAAAGTATTAAAAATTCAAATTTATCTATGTAATTTTATTTATTTTTAAGAAAACCTTTACATATTTATTGTTGAAAATTTCAACAAATATGTATGCCATTGTTATTGACGACAACAATATCTAACTTTTAATAGAAACCTATATAAATACGTTTAAAATCAACTAGATTCAGTTAGTGGGCGAATTAAATTATTAATCAGCATCAATATAGTGAACATGCAAGACTAAGACCGTATTCCGGAGTATTAACAGAAGAACTGCAATCCGAAACATTTTTGTTACCAAGTAGCATTAGAATTTGGATTTGAAAATCAGTTGAAATCTTTTTTATTAGCGAATCTCGAGTTCTGTAAGTGTATCAAGAATTTGACATGTTTCATTTAGATGTTGAGCTTAAATGTCTGTAACCATTGGCTAGGCTGGGACTTTTTTTGTGGCCAGTGCGGGTGCGCATGCGCATATTACAGGCAGGAGCATAAATCGGCCCCAGGTGTTTGGGCGCGCATTTCCCACGGATTAGTGCATAAATAAAGAAGGTCAGAGCTGTGTTTGGAGCGCTGCTCGCATAGCACTGGCAAGCTAACTAGATATTTCAAATTTTATGACAGAGGTTGACCCCTCCACCCACCCGCCCTTTGCCCGTCGTCCTGTCATTGACTTCCGATGCTGTTGGCCGGTCAAACTGTACCGTCGCATCGCTTTCTTTTACGGGGCATAAACCAAATTGCTTTATTAGCAGTGCGCGGTACCCTATAACACATAACAACTTCATTTGGTGGCCGGGAAGCCGCCTAAGGTGGTCCCGACGCAGCATTTCCTTTAGCTCATTAACACGTTGCGGTCCTTGGCCGGAGGGGAGGAGCCTGCAGATTGTTGCCTGGCGTTGATGGAACCCACACGCAGCGGTTCTCACGCTGCAAAACAAAAGCATTGTGCGCGCAATTTAAGATTAGCAACAGTTAACACAGACAAAGGCATGGCCAAGGCATGGATCATAATGATAATGCTTATAATAACAACGGTCGGGACGGGTCGGGTCGGTCCGGTCCGGGTAGTCGGTTGGTCGGTCGGTCGGTCAGCAAGGACCACCAAACGGCGCTGATAAGATACCGCATCCCTGTCCAAGAGCTGCGTGCGCAAGATCTACCAAACAGATTGCGAGGGGAGCCCCAGGTGGCTCCATCGATAATCGCGCATTAAGCGTGCGTAAGTCCCGTCACGGCCCGAAGCAAGAGGAAGACCGCAAGGCAGATACCCGAAGAGCGAGATCAGCCCCAGAGACCTTGCCCTGGGTGTGATCGCGATAAGCGCGACTTTTGGCTCGGTACGTGCTAAACCCTTGCCTGCGATCATTTTAATTATAGGCCAGCCTGGACCAGCTGCAGCACAGCAGAGAAGAGACCGACCCAGCTCTCCACCGCCATCGTCGCTCCCCTCCCTTGCATCATCCGTTTTTGCGAGTCGGGGTCAAGCAACGCACATTGTGGGCTGGGTCAATATTTGCTTAAGCCCGGGCCATAAATACTTAATTTGTCCAACGGTTTTTTGGTTTGGAAAAAAGGAAGGATAAAATGAAAACCTGGCGAAAGCGCCGCCGCAACTTTTATAAAGTCATCAAGACGTCAATTGCTGCGCAATTACCTCCAAATCACTTGACCGAAAACTTACGCATAAATACACCAAATTTTGGATTTATTCCAGGCATTAAAAGACAAGGCACACACTGCCGGGCTAGTCTTCCCGATCGGAGCCGCGATTGGAGACGGGCGCCGAGGCATCTACCTCGAGATAATCGTGCACCAGCTGGCATATATTCTCGGATGCCTCGTTGAAGTTGCCCTCCTCGAGGCCCTCGCCCACATAATGATAAACAAAGGCGCGCCGCTGATAAAGCTTATCGAATTTGTTGACCAGGCGGCACCAGGCGATCCGTATGTTCGTATTGTTCGATATGGCCACGCAGGCGCGACTCGTGGGCGCCAGATCTCCGTTGGGCACATAAACGGGCGGCATTTGGCTAACGCCAATCTTAAAACCCGTCGGGGACCAGTCTACAAACTTGAAGGACTTGGCACGCTTTATGTTCTCCAGCGCCGAGTTGATCTCATTGGGCGCCACATCGCCACGATAGAGCAGCACGCAGGCCATGTATTTGCCATGGGCCGGATTGCAGCGAACCATTTGGTTGCTCATATGGAAGCATTGACCCGTCAGTTGGGCGGTGCTCATGTTGACGAACTGCGAGTGGGTGACGGGCACGAGTGGAGCGTAATTAATTAGGGGATAGTGTATGCGCGGGTATGGCACCAGATTTGTCTGCAGCTCCTGAAAGCTGACCGACTGACCCGAGAATCGCTGCGTAGCCGTAAATGCCGCCACCACCTGTCCAATGATCCGGTTCAGATTGGTGTACGTAGGCGCAGGCACATTCAATGTATTCGCGCAGATGTCATAAAGCGCCTCGTTGTCCACAATGAACGATACATCCGCACAGTCCATGGAGAAGTGAGTGGCCAGTAGGGCATTGTACGGCTCCACAATTACGGGCGAAATGCTGCGGCGAAAACAAATGTCGCCTGAGATGGGCGGGAAATGTTTTTGGCATTTACCAACTTACGAAGGCGATGGATACACTAGAAACTCTATGACTGTCATCTTCTTTCCAAAATCCTCTACCAGTTTCTCCATGATGCGTGTGCCCAGGCCAGAGCCAGTGCCGCCGCCGATGGCACGAAAGACCAGGAAGCCACGCAGGCTGCGGCAGCGATCGGCGACACGGCGTATGGCATTCATGGCCCTATCCAGAAGCTCGCTGGCCATCAGATTGTAGCCGCGGGCAAAGTTGCTGCCGCTGTCGTCCTTGCCTGTGATCAGCGTGTCCGGATGGAATAGATTGCGATAGGCACCTGTGCGTATCTCATCTGGAGCAGAGAAAATGTGAATGAGGATGAGCCGAAGATCATAATGCGATGCAATTGGCAGCCACCTATGACCGTTGGTTCCGTATCGATCATGACGAGACGCGGCTGCACGCAGGGCTCATGACCGCTAAACTCAAAGAACGTCAAGAAGGAATCATCGCACGGCTTGCTCATCAGCCGACCGTTTGACAGGATTCCATGCTCCAGGCAATAAAGCTCCCAGCATGCATTCGCAATCTGCACGCCCGCCTGTCCGATGTGGATCTGTATAATCTCGCCCTTGCCGCCCATGTGGCGCCGGTTTTCAACTCAGCAACTGCTGCTCTGTGAACCCTCGACATGCGCCCTATCAATTTTTAATCAACCTTAAGCCAGGAAATAATTAATTATATAAAACTAGGATTTTTTCTGTGATTTTTCAAATAATTTCATTTACATTGATTTTAATGACAAGCTAAACAATATTTTGTTTAAGCTCTGCTTTATAATATATATATATATATGCTTCATAATATATATAATATATATATATATATGTATATATATATATATATATATATATATATATATATATATACATATAAATATATATATACATATGTACGGTATATCATCTATATATACGCATATATAAGGTAAATACGCACAATACAAGTATACATAACATTCATTATTGTCCGCGCGCGGATTAGTCAGTTTTCAAAGCGTTAAGTACAGATCCTTAAATGTAGTGTACATATATAGTTAGATAATTTCCGTGCTCGAGTGCATAAAGTTAGGCTATAGTGCAATAACTTTAATAGATTTTTTTTTGTATAATGGGAATGTACGAAAGAAATATAATATTTATTAATATATGGTCTATAGAGTGGTGTATTATACAAAGCAGTCGCAAGTTCTAGCTACGTTTTAATAATTTACAAAACATACATTAAAAAATTGAAATAATACGCAACATTGTGTCAACCACAAATGTGACATGAAATAAATTTTGCATATGCTATAGTTAAAGTATTTTCGCCTTAATTAATAAGAAATGTGTCGGAATTGCTTTGAAATTGTTGATTGATTGGACATTCTAATTTCTAGGCTCGTTTTCTCAAGATTTGTGTTGCGAAAAGTTCAAACAGTCAGATCAAGCACGTGCTTATCAATGCTGACCCATATAAATGTACTCCTATGAATTTGTTTTAATGCTCGATAAATGAAATCATCTTAACGGAGACTTAATACTAGCTGACGTGGGTATTTATAAGATACTACCAAATATCTTGCTTTAAAGGGGTCAAACAACATGACTTTTACATATGCATATTTTACCTTGAGGGAAGTTGTGTTGTTAAGAGAGTATAGCTGTAGGTTTGCTGTATTTTCCGATTAATTAGGGAAATAACCGAATTGCCAGAGAACAAAATACATAGTAGAAAAGGACTGAATTAGCAGTTGGTTCGACAGATATTTAACCGCAAGTTGGGTGCTGGTTAACAGTGGGAACAATCAGATAAGAATTTAAAGTTTAAAGGACTTGGATAAAACGAGCCTTTGATTTTTGATTTGATTTGAGAATCGATTCATGGCGTCAACATTTGCAGCTGCGAGACTAGAAATAATTTTCAATACGTTTGAAGCAGGAGCTGGCAGTAGAAAACCCTTAGCCTGCTATTTTGTTCATGGCATGTGACTTTAAGCCGATGCTCTAAAGTAGTGACTGCTCCAGTAAAATGCGCTCAAATCCCGAGGGTGGACCGTGCGTAAAATTATCCAGAATAATGTCCAGTATGGCGCCATTGCCCACTGCAAGGCATACACAGTAAGAAATTAATAATGGCAAAGCTGGAAACTAATGCGCCAGCAACTCACCGTAGATGACCGGAAACAGTGCCGAGCCGCGTACATTGCGAAAAGGCACTTCCAGATTTTTGCCATTGAAATAGAAATTCAATTCGACATGATCGAAGGCCACGCCCAGTATGTCGCCCTCGTCGGGATAGTCACGCTGCGGTGCACTGATCAAAGCATCCACCGGGCTCAGCTCGGGTGCCGTCTCTACGCCAGTGGTCATCAGCAGATCCTCCTGCAGATCCTCAATGGCGATCAGGCCCGCTGCGGCGGCAGCGCTATTGTTCAATATACCATTGGCAGTGGATGTGACCGCGGCGGCGGGTGTCTTGGCGGCCGCCGTTGGCTGTTTGCAGTTGGCCACAACGGGTCGGAACTCTTCGTCGTTGTGGCGTGTCGCATTGTCGGAGCACAGGCACCAGGATTCACGATCCCCGCCGCCCCACTTGCGTGTCAGATCCGCCTGACGCGTGGCCAAGCCAATTGACCAGCTGCCGCTCTGTTGGATCTTCACCTCGAAGTAGGATTTGGACTGCACCAGGGGCGCTGTGGCCAGTACACCGCCTGTGCCCGTTACACGCAGCTGATGCGATAGCAATATGACATCGGGGCCTGCCAAGCATTCGAATTACCTTAGCTTTAGTTCAAATATGTGGGAGTAAACTTACCCATATGTGCCGCATCCAGGTGCACTTCGGGCTCCCTGAGACGATGCGCAGCTGACGTTGGTTTTCGCAGCTGCCCCCCATTGAGGCATGTGCGCAGGCAGCAGAACATGTCACAAAGGGTTATGAATATATTTTAATTGCTATTTTATTATATTTGGGTCAGCTTGAATATTTTCCAGATGCAGTTTGTTTTTTCTTTTGTGTGCTTTAATCCGCTTCGTTTATTAACAGCTGTTTTGTTCTGTTTTCCATCCCTGGCAGTCGCTTTGCGCGCCGACGCCATCTTATGACGTCATTGCTGTGCAGCAGTGACTGCATCTAATTACAATAGATGTCGCCACAAAGCCATCTACAGTTGAAGTTCAGGAAATGGGTAATATTTCGAAGTAAACAGCAAATACAAATAATGATGGGTTAATTCAGTGAGTTAATCGGATATAATCTTCATAGTATAGTATTAAAAATTATGTTAAATAATTATGTCTTGTCGTGTACTTAAACGAACGATAAATCTCGATGTCACACCTCGTTTGAAGAATGTAGGAAATTTTATATCTACCTTATTGATAGACAGAACTCATTTGATAAAAACTTTCTTTTTATTTAATACAGTAGCGGGTGTACCCCTGCTGGCTCTTGGCACGTGCAAAATAATATTTCTCATAGATGTTTGGAAATGAGCTTGAGATCGGTCGATCGATAAACAACAAATTTTCATACAACCTTTTTCCGCCTATTTACCACTGTTGTGGGTGGAATTTCTCAAATCGCTCAAACACATATCCATTAAGTTTTTATACCCTGAACCCTTTCAAATGGGTACAAGTATATATTGTATTTGTGCAAAATCCAAATGTATGTAACCCTATAAAGTATATATATTCTTGATCAGCATCAATAGCCGAGTCGATCTAGCCATGGCCGTCTGTCTGTCCGTCCGTCCGTATGTATGAACGCAAGGATCTCAGAACCTATAAGAGCTAGAGACTTGAAATTTTAGATGTAGATGCTTTTAGCTCCCGCGCAGATCGAGTTTGCTTCCGATAATCGATAACTTCCTCCGATTCCAAGCAATCGATAAAAATCTATATCGATATCCTGTTTTTTTTGACAATTTTGGTAAATAATAAGAGCTTGAGTCACCAAACTTGACATATAGAGTCTAAAATAGAATATATATATATATATATTTGATGTTGGAAGAAGAGGGTTCAGGGTATCCCCTATTCGGGAGCTCCCGACTAGAACCTCTTACTTGTTATGTATAGTTTTGAAAATATTTCCTGGACTCACTTAAAACATTACCAAAAATATCTTTAAAGAGCTCCTTTTACCGAGGAATCTATGATTTAGCGAAAAATGTGAACACGTCTCAAATGATTTTTCAAATGGATCCATGGAAATGAGTTTGAGCGCTAAACGTGACCCACCAAATCTTTGATCTCCATTTCAAGGAAAATGTGTGAAAAACTCCTCAAATGAATTTGAAGAAAGATCTTTGAAAATAAGTTTGAAGCCGATCGAATGGATGGTCAACAAAAAAGTTTCATACAATAGTTTTTCGCCATTTTTCCACACACGCGGGTTGAATTTCCCGAAATTACCCCGTCTTCACTATATAAGGTAACTACAACTTGATCACCGATCAGTCATTCCGTCAGTTAGGATAAACTGTTTTATATATAGAGGCACTACCAGAAAAATAATGCTAAAGCTTTTCCTATATATGAAGTTTATCCAGATTACGATATAGATTGGGGAAATAAAGTTTTATTAGGCATCATCGTCTCAGCTTTTAGTTACATTTTTCGTAGCGGGCTACCAATTGGCGATAAATATTGGATACGCGGGAGCTCTTGTGGCAAGCAGTGCCGCCGCCGCGATTGTGCTGCTCCTGCTGCCGGTTAATGTCGCCGATGCAAATCCAATCACCGCCACCGATGCGCCAGCGATGCAGCATAATGCCCGTCTCCTCGGAGACGGCCCACTTGGAGTGATCGCTGGTGGTCTTGAAATCTACTGCAAAATCGTTATTGGCAATGTCCTCAACGTTGTAGATCATGTTGGGCTTGTCGCAGCTGTCGGGCAAATTGCCAGCACCGTCGCGCCACGCCTCCACGAAAAGATTGACGCCCAGAGCAGGTGCCACAACATCGCTATAGAGCTCCACATTGGCACGCGGGCTTTTGCCAAAGAGTCGAAACTTTTTGCCGTCGAGTGTGCGCAGCTCCACTTCCTTCTGGTAGGGTGATTCGGTGCGCCACTGACGCTTTAGTGCCCGTTCCAGACTGGGAAACAGATCGCCGATTTTAAGCAAGGGATTGCGCTCATAGTAGAAGTGCGGCTCATTGAAGACGAGCAGCTCGCCCACCTTCTCAACGCCCTCAGCGTCAATTGTCATGCAGAGCAGACTTTGTCCGTAATTCTCGCCCGTGGTGGGATAACTGTAGTCCGGCACAGTGGGATATCTAGGGACCGAGTGCACCAGCCACATGCCCTTCGCGCCGTCCGTGGCAATCACACCCTTCGTATGGCCCCCATTGCTGGCGACGGTGCCATTCGGAAACTGATCATTGTAGGCGGCCAGTAGAACGCGATGCTCGTCCGCATAGAGCGGCTTCAGAGTCTGGGCTGGCATCGAGTTGGCATCGCTTATGCGTCGTCCCGACATCTGCCAGTTGTCGTAGTTCGTGCTGGTTACATACAGATAGCGCAATCCACTCACGTCCTGGCCGTGCGGTCTGTGACTAAAGTGCTTGGGCAGCTTGTAGATGTACCACCTGTAGGAGGTGCACAATAAGCAGGGGATCCATTGCCAGCTATATTTGTAGAGTGCCACTTACCAGTCCACGTCGTGGCCCTGCTCGTCCTTGCAGGACACCTTGTTGTCCGCCAGGCAGACCTGTAACGCGGCAGCTGCCCAAATCACCAGCAAACAAATGAAGCGCATTTTTAAACCGTCTCGTCCCAGAGTCCAAATTCTACTGATTGAATGTAGTTCATCAAGTACAACCATCGACTGGAGGTTGCCAGCACATTCTAGGTATATACACTCAGAAAAAAAAGACGGACCGAAATCGCCTTTAAATTTTGAAATTAATTTTGACAAAGGTTTTCTACATATTAGAAAGTTAATATCTTAAAACAATTTATATTTTTTTTAAAAAGCATGAAAATTATGTTTTAAAAATTTATAATTTTAAGAAACTTATTTCTTAAAATAAGTTCTTATTTGTACACTTTTTAATTCGTTGATTTTATTATTTATTTCTTTTTGAAAGAAACATTCGTTTAATTCAAATATAAAACTGATTTTAATTGGGTAATTCGCCGCAAGTTAGAGTAAAATATATTTTCATTAATATTTTGTTGCTATTTTTAATAATAAATAATTCAAAAAGAATAAATATATCATTCCATAATAATTAAGTCAACCATTTTTTTTGCGAGTGTAGAGGTGTTCCGTCTTTTTGCTTATGTGCCTTTTCCAAGTATAATCCACGCTATGCAGGCAACAGCCTGTGCCAGGTAGACAAACTTGTTTTATATAAGGGATTTCCCTCTTGACACAACAACCCTGTACAGTAGTTACTGGCATGGTAGCGACCCGTTTGGCTGAGCTCAATACTCAGCTTATCAGCTCAGAGCGCGAACCCGGGCCATAGCCGGCATCTGGATTTGCGTGCGGGGCGTAGTACCATTATCAATTCAGCGGGGTTTATGGAACTGAATTTCTGCTGACCCTTAACGGACGCCCCTGACGCCAGCGATAACAAGAACCAGCTCTTTAGATTTTTCGCAAGCAGAAAAACAATTTAATTATATTTCAAATTGAAATATTATATTTAATAGGGTAGTTTCTGTTTGATGCTGATGCGGGTGTAAATATTTTTTGATTATTAGTTTAAATAATAAATAAATACAACTCAATATCTCAATATATAAAACTGTTTGCCCTGATTGTTTGACGGACTGACTAATTGATCAACTGAGTAATAAACGCACAGCCCAAGCCATAAGAAGCTGAAATGTTCAAGTACAGTGAATCTTATTTAATGAAGGTGCACGCTTAGACTGCTTATTTGTAAAATTCCATCCGCAAGTGTGGAAAACACGCGAAAAAGTTTGTATGCAACTTTTTGTTTACCATCCGCTTGTTTGGTCTTAAACCCATTTTCCAAGATCTTTGTGAAAATATATTTGATACATTTGTCGCAAGGGTTTAGTTAGCGAAAGTTTACTTTTCGGTTTTAACATTCTCAAGGTTTTCAACTCTTGAACCTTTATTCAATAAACCTTAAATATACTTTCAAGTAGAGTTAGCGTTCAAGAATCTTCAGGCAGTCTTAAATTTCACAGACAGAAACAGGTTGAAAAACATAGATCTGAAGTGTTAAGCACTAAGCACCGGGGAATACCCGGTCACAGTAGAAACATTTAAGATCAGCTACTGCTCTGCCCGCTACTTAAAAACCCTTTAACTTCTTTTGCTTCCAGAAAAGAAAAGTCGAGCTCGCTTTTTTTTTTTTTTTTACAATTACACAAAACAATTGTTAAAGTTTTTATTCATTATTTGTATTACATATTATCTGTTGTTGCTGTTGTTGTTGCTACTGCTGCAGTTTGCGCTGCGACTGTCGCCGTGTGCCGGGACCCTGGTTTCTTCATTTGTTTTTGTTTATTTTTTGTCAGGCAGGGTCTTTGTGCACCGCTTTGATGGTTTGGGAGGGGAAATATTATCAAATTGTATAATTTGTGTTGAATTTTTTTTTTGTTTTTTTTTTTGCTGTTTATTAATAATTTGTAGTACAATAATCTGATTCTGATAATACGATAATGTCATTAAAATAAATTGCGTTTAAACCTTATCGCTGGTTGCTGTTTATTGTTTTCACGTAAATGATGTGAAAATGTTCACGATCTGTTCTGCAATTCGTTAAATATTTTGTTTTCTTTCAGCCAAACCGCACTCTGTTCTGCCAATCTTGACCTTTGGCCTGTCTATTGCCTTAACGCTCGATTTGCTATTTCTTTGGTTTTATCGTATGCAACAACACACACATTTAAACTCACAATACAATATTTTCGCTAAATATTTATGTAATTTTTTTTTGTTTTTTTGTAATGTTGTTTTGTAAATTTTTTTGTTTTTAGTTTACTTTTAATATAGTAGTTAATAATTTATTAATATATTGTATGCTTTTTTTTATTAACTTTCTTTTTTGTTTACTTTGAAATATATATAAAGAACAAGGCTGATATTCATATTTGTTTTTGTTTTGTTACTGTTCATGTAAGTTTATAATAATAATATTTAGCTAATTTTTGCCTTAGCTTGCGCTTTTTTGTATATTTAGTTTTCATTTTGTTGTTAGATACTTTTCCTTATTTGTTGAAAATCATTAAATTTTTACAATACTAGCAAAAGGGTTTTATTTATTTATTTTGTAATGCCTTTCTTTTTCTTTTCTATTGCTAAAATGTGAAATGTTTTGCAAAAAAGTCAAATAAATGAGCCTCAAAATAGACAAATATTTGCCATTTGTTGTAGTTAATATTATATTGAATTATATTTATATATATTTTTTTTATATTGATAAAAGTTGAATAATATGCAATTAAAAATTGCATTCTCTTTATAGATGAATCCATTATTAATATAATTGTTGCTTCTTTTTGTTTTATAATTTCAAAATTGCTGCGCATAATTTGTTGCTGCTTTATATATATATATATATATATATATATATATATATATGTATATATATATAGATATAATATTATATATGTATGCACATATATAGTTTTTTATATCGGGCACGAGTTTGATATGTTTTCAATTAATTTTTAATGTTTCTCATTTCACTTGTTGTTGCTGCTGTTGCTTTTCTTCGTTTTCTTTTTCTTGATATTTTTCATTGATATTTTAAATATTCAATATCAATTTGTTCTACTTAATATAAATATGTAAATGTGTCTTCGTGTATATGTGTGTGTATATTTGTATATGTATATATATACGCGTATGCTTGTATATTTATGCCTGTATATAGTATGTGTATATAATGCAACTGCCAGGCGAGTCCATCGCAGTTGGAAATGTTATTAACAACTGTACAGCATGCCATATATTTTTATATTTGCTTGAATGCCTCCTATTATGTTTCATTTTGATAATCATATCATATGTTTCCCAGTTACTTAAGCTAATATTCAGGGTTTTAAACGTAATATATGTCAATGCATTTTTTTATTTGTTGTATATTATGAATTTTTTCTTGTTGCAAACATTTTCTCTAATTTAAAATTCGTTTCTTTAAGGTTTCTGCGCATCTGCTAGATGATGTTTAAATTAAAAAGAAAAATCCAAATAAATTTGTGTAAAGTGATTTGAAAAGTAAAACAAATGTTAGTTGAATGTTTTTGTTTGTTTAACGAACATAATGAATTTATTAAGCATAATTAATACCGTCAATTAAAAAAGGCTAAGTAAACGCTACATATAAAAACGCAAGTTTGGAAAAATAATGTATGTATATATGTATGTATGTATATATAGTATAGTATATAAATGGTATACAATACAGTACTTAGGCATTAGTATGGTTATAAAACAAATCATTTAATGCACGTTTTTAGTTATCTTTTAGGCAGGCAAACAAAAGGCAATTGGAAACCGAATCGGAGATATGTATACGATTAAATATAGTTAAAAGAGCAGTTTCGCCATAATATATAAACATTTTCGAGATGCACGAAAAATAAAGTACAAATACTTAGCTAAAAGCTAATACAATAATAAATACAATAAAATACAAATTTTCTTTGCTATTACTGTTGCCTTTACTGGCTTTTATGCCATTACTTGGTATATGCATTTACATATGTATGTAGTATGTAATCTATTACTAATTGCCCTTCTATAGATGCACAAAACTCATGTTCTTCTCACGTCTGTGTTTTATTCAGCGACTCTTTTTTTGTTTTTGTTTTTGTTTTTTTTTTTTTTTTTTGGTAACTGCTTTCTTTTTTTACGCTTACATTGTCAAAAAATGTTTAAAAACCACATCAAAACATATCGCTTATCAATTTTTTGTAAAAGTTTTTTGTTCTTTTTTTACTTTGCATCTACTATCTGGTAAATCTTTCATCTTGCTGATATGTATCCGTTGTAGTTGCGTGTAGTATTATATATATATATATATATATATATATATAATTTTTGTTTGTTTGTTTCAAAAATGTATTTATATATTCATATAATGTTCCCATAATTCATATTGTTTAGTTTAGTTTTTTAGTTTTAGTTTTAGTTTTACATTTACAAACTAATTTCATGATGCATTAGATATTCCTGTTCAAAAGTGTTTCATTCACACTTTCTAAACTGTTTTACTCAATTTTGTTTTTTATTTATATTTTTATTATTTTTTTCCTGATGAGAATGTAGTTAGGAGAATGTCTTGAAATAAGAGCCTGAAGGTAGCTAATGTTGCAACTGCTTTTGTCTTCAACATTTGTTTTTCTATTCTTTTTGGTTATAGATACATGAGAAGTTGTCGATGATCTATGCTAGATGAGAACATGTTTTGCTTGGCTGTTTCTTTTAATCTGATGCAGGCGTGTTGGTTGCCACACGAGCACACACACGCACACACGCAGCGTCTTAGACAAGTCATTAAGAACGCGTTTCCATTGCTTTTCTTTGCTAAAATGCTTGCATACTTCGAGGCGTCAAGCCTGAAAAGTTTTCTTATTCCTTAACATTAAAAATTAATTTCGAAAATATTTGTATTAGGCATAGCTTCTATTCCTTTTGTTTTCCTTTTTTTGGTAACCTTTATATTTTTAGTTTAAATAATTATGTATTTATACGCTTAGTTGTAGTTGTAAATATTTTGCTTCATAATTAATTTTGTTGGTTTTTGTTTGTTTTTGTTCTTTAATTTCGTTAAAGGCGCAATTTTATGATATGCATTAGTATTAATATAATTAAACTTGTTCACTTATAACTAGATCATCCTAAGTGTGTGTACGTGTGTGTGTGTAGTAGTGAATTGGTGTATATCTGTCGGTTTCTTTACAGACCAATGAATAGATTTTGGTTATCAATAGCATGTATTTTCAAACAGATGATGTACCAAAACGCCCGAATATAATGATCATTATTATGATGGTGATAACAATGCTAATGGCGATGATTATAATGATAGGCAAGAGTAAGCAAGAAATGTAATTGGACGGAGTATGCTTTTACATTTGACTAAAGTCAATTGAAATTTTAAATATGAAATAAAGTGTTGAAAGTAGACAAAATGAGAAGTCGAAACTGTAACATTCAACATTATTATTATTATTATTTTTTTTTATATATGCGCTGGACATCCATTACCAATAATGCCAATTTTAATTGCCATAACATATTTTTCATATTTTTTTGTTTTCTTTTTTTTTTTGCTTTAACAAATGTTTCAAATATGCCTTTGGTATGTCTAGTTGTTTTAATCGTAACTAAGTAAATTAAATATAATAGATTTATATTGTTATTTTATGTTATTATTGAATTATTTTGATGTTGGTTTGTTTAACAAATGTGGGGAATGGTTAACGTAATTCGGGTTTATGTTATTTAGTAAGGACAACTTTGGTAAATATAAAATTTAATTTAAAATGTAAATTTTAAATAATATACGTGTATGCCTATAATTTAAACAATGCTGAGAAACTGCAACGGCTGCCATATCATATCATATGAATGATAATTGTCTTGTTTTTTTCTTTTCTTTCAAAATTTAGAGCTTGCCGTTTTTTTAATTAGCTACTTAAAAGCCTATGTCTTGCCTTTTCTTTTGGTTGTTTTTGTTGTTGTTGTTGTTGTTGCTGTTGCTGTTGTTGGTGTTGGTGTTGGTGTTGTTGATGGTTGCCTAATAGTTGTTTTAGCTTTTAACAACTACATTGCTTTAGCATAAGTGTACTTGTAGTTGTTTCATTTAGTTACAATAGATGTAAGTAGTTCCATAATTATTGCTACTGCTGCTACGTAAGATGATATGTTACTGATTTTGCAATCGTAAAGTACGAGTGCTCGTCGTTCCCGTAATCAAAAGTTGTTTGTGTTGGTTGTTAGGTTGTTGTTGCCTTTGTTTCTGCCTGTAGTTACCCCGCTGTCTCTGGTTCGTTGGTTTTTGTTTTTGTTGTTTTTTTAGCAAGAAATGTGTGTGTTGATTGTTCTAGCATTTTTCTGAAATTGAGTTAGGAATGTTTTTGTTTGTTGGATTATCAACAATACAAGCTTATCAATTTTCTAGTCTTTATGCGGTTGAGAGAGCTTTTGCAGAAATTTCAGTTTCTTCATTTTTTGCTTGTTTGTTTTGGGCGGAAAGTGTGTCGAGAGTGTCTGAATCTAATTATACCAGCTGTAGTGCCAGATCCAGCTACAGTTCCTGGTTCCCCTATCTGGTTAGCTAGTTAAAATATATATATATATTTATATATGAATGTAAGTATGTATGTATGTATACTAGAGTCTTAACAGCGCATTTCAATCCCAATGCCGTGTCGAATTCACAATTTGAATGTACGTTTTTATAACAAATAAATTTCGAAACCAGCTTTCAGTTTTTCTCAATATAGATTTTACATTTGATGACACCGACAAGTTCTCGTTGTTAAATGTTTTATGTGTGTATGTGTGGGGTTTTTGTTCTGTTTTTTTTTTTTCATTAGCTTTCATTATCTTTAAATAACACATCAAAACTGTATTACTAAATACAAGATATTACTTTAATGCATATACACACATATACAGATGATTTTGTTTTTGGTTTTTCGTAATTCTTTAACGTTTTGTTTGTCTTTTAATAATTCTAGAAAGAGAGCTATTTAAAGGGCACATTCGGTTAAGCTATAATTATGTTTTCTTTTTTTATTATTATTCAATTTTATATGTACTTTTGTTTTCTCTTTTTTTTATGTTATTCCCTTAACACTGTTATTATGCTTTAAAAATGTCTTTAATGAATGGATAAAGGTTGTTAAGAAAAAAACAGATCAAATTCTTGCAATGTTTCAATTCCATTTCATGAATATGGTCGAAAATGAAAGGGTAAATGAAGATAAAACAGTGTGAGTTTAGGCTAGATCTAATTCGTAAACAAAGGCTAAATGGAAATTATCGGAACAACCATAGTTAAAAATGGTTCAAAAATCTTTAGCAGCTCTTATAGACATATATATGTAAATATATATATTAATACACATATGTATATATCTATTGGGGCATATCAACTGTCTAGTTAAGTTCTCTCAATCTAATCTGATCTATTTTTTGTTGTATATTTTACTACAAGATTTCCCTTTGCTGGTTTTTGTTTTTCTTGTTAAGCTTTTTTGTTTTGTTTTGTCTTTTTTGTTTTGTTTTTGGTACCTACAATTTTCGCTCAACATTTCATCGGCCTGTCAAAAATTTCACTAAACTGGGTTAGGCTTTCCATATAAATTAATATATATATATATATATATATATATAAATATATATATTTATTTTTTTTTTTTGAATTTTTTAAAGTTTTTTTTTATATGCTACAACTAAAGTTTTGCCTCCTTTGCATGAATCCGTCACATGCGGAGCTTCACTGCTCTGTGCTGGGCGGAGGGGGATCCGCTCAAACTCAAAATGTACGCCTGTCGTCCCGTGCCACTGCACCACGGCACCACTTAGGCGGCGATGTGTGTAGCCGCTGGCAACACATACGAGTAGATATGGTGGTGGTGTTGTTGTTGTTGTTGTTGTTGCTGCTGCTGCTGCATCTGCAGATGGTGGTGTTGCTGCTGATGATGGTATTGGGGCAGCGGCGTTAGTGGTGCATTAGCACTGCCGGGTCAGGTCGCTGTTGGCGTCATCAAGAACTGCTGCTGTTGATGATGGTGGTGCTGAAGATGATGGTGATGATGATGATGCGGCGGCTGGTGGCTCTGATGGTAATGCTGATGATGCGTCTGCGGCTGGTGGTGTGCCTGCTGCTGCTGTTGTTGTTGTTGTTGCTGTTGATGCTGCTGTTGTTGTTGCTGTTGCTGTTGCTGCATTTCACGCTCTAGTTTCTTAGCGAGCAAATCATGCCTTGATTCCATACCCGCTCCTCTGCAAGTAGTTGGTAGAACAGTTGATGTTGTAAATGGCTGTCAGTTGAGTTTGACACTGGTCTCATTAATGGGCTAGTGGTGCACTTGTGATTTGGTTAGTTCTTAAAGCATTACTCTTTAAATGGACTCGACATGCACTACTGTGTGGCTGTGCGTGCGTCTGTGTGTGTGGGTGGCTTATGCTCTTGGACTGATTCCCCTGGGCATACCCCAAACGTACCCACACAATCAGCACACACACACACACACATACAAACATAACCTTAAGCTACCATTTTATGGCTGAACCGCCATAAGAATCATGTTTTATGTGTTAGCAGCATGCAAAACAAAAAATTCGACCAACAACTTGAAGCAGCACCCCCTTTCAAAAACGACCGCCCAGCCGAACACCCGCCTGCCCACTAAACGCAAGTGCGCAAATTACGCCCGACGGCTGCTCCGAAACTTTTTACGACGGCACGGCTGAGCATTCATTACTGTGCCCGTAACAGAAAAGCAACCCCTCTTGCTTGCCCCCTTGCCGAAAATTCTCACAGCTTGTAAACGATTTAAATTGATTTTGAACAAGCAATCAACTAACAAACAGCACACATACTAAAAATTAAGCACGAAAATTTATTTCCAGAAAGTTTTTACAACCAAGTGAAAACTTCATTGCAAATAAAACTGAAGAAACCAATAAAATAGTATTTAATTTTATATTTTAAAATGATCTAAGTCTTTCTTATCACCTTTGACAGGAGATGTATTTAATTGCGTGTCTTCAAAGTAGATAATATATAAACTAGGAAACAAATTTGAGATGTGATCCCCTTGCTGAGTTTCATTTCCGTTATTAAGCCGCATGTCTTCCATGGTCACTTTTAGTTTTGTCTATATTTAGTCGAGCTCAAACAACATTCATGTACAAATAAGTATTCACTGTGTTCATTTCATTCATCATCTCGTGCCCATTACAACTCATATTACTCATATGTCTTCCATGGTCATTTTAACTGTTGTCTTTATATAGCCAAGGTCGGTTAATCATCATGTACAGCTAAATAATATATTTTATAATGTTTTCCAATATAGTATATAATTATCAGCATCTCCCGCTCCGTTCCCATTAAAAATTCATAATCCCTTCATGGTCATATTAATTGTAATCCAACATATCTAGGTTCCTTTATAGAACAGTCTCTCTCTGTGAAGACATTAACATACTCTCCATTTTATTTGCAGCTCGAACTGTACTCAATTTGCTTTGTTACCGTGTCACACTTAAATGGCCAAGTTCGCTGTCAAAAGAGTATTCCCCTGCCTACAGATACACGCTCACTCCAATCGTCAGCAAAAGTCATGCCCCTAAGTGAGTATATTTATATATTTAAATAAAATATCGATAGCTATAAGAACTGAATAAGTCTTGCGTTTAAGCTCATAAAGGAAACCTTGAGTTCGTTTACCTTCTTGCGATTTTTCGTTTATCGTACTTATTTTTCCAAAACCACCCGAACTACTGTCCTTAAAACTACTAGCGGGTCGGCACTTGTCTGTGGGCGTGGCACGCGTATATTTTGCATTTTTTATAAAGTTAGCTTTTGGCTCTGTGTTTATTGTTTGTAGTTGTTGCTGGCGTGATCACGAAAATTGAAAAAATAAATTTATGTGGTCTTTTAGCATTTATAATACGTGCGGCGGCACACACATACATACATGTTTTTGTGTGAGGGTGAGAGTTTTTTAAGCTGGAGGTGAAAAATTGTGCTGTGCGGCTAAGCGGAAGCTGGCATTTAAAACTAGCGGACGTCTAAAGCTCGAGACTCGCAGCGAACCGAGGCCAGATTAAAATCTGCACAAGTGTGTGTATAAGTGTGTTATGTGTGTGTGTAGAGTAAAGTCAAGTGCAATAAGGCGGCCATAAATTGTCGTGTGTGTGTGTGTGTGTGTGTGTGTGTGTGTGTGTGTATGTGTGTGTGGATGTGTGTATGGGTGTGTGTGTGGTCGGGGGTTCAGTCTGGCCCCATTTGTTGGTTATAATTTGTATTTAAATGCCTGCCTGGTAGCAATTTTTGCTGCTGCTGCTGTTGCTGTGGTGCTGTTGCTGCTGCTGTTGTTGTTGTTGTTGTTGCTGCTGCTGCTGCTGCTGTCATGCAAAGTAAACGAGCCGAGCTAAACAATAACAGTTTGCAATTTCATAAATAGTTAATGAGTTGCTTTTTCGGGCTTCATTTTATAGTGTATATATATAGCGTGCATACAATTTACTTGGATGATACATGTGCTTGTGTTAAGCTGGAAGGTTGTGAATTATGAGACAAACCCTTTGTGTGGGAGTTGTTGCGTTAACTATTTATAAAGCTAAGAGGGTATAAAAACAGGTTTAGGAATTGCTGAGCGATAGTTAAGTGTGCGCATGTCTGTGTGTGTGTGTGTGTGTGTGTGTGTGTGTGTGTGTGTGTGTGTGCGAAAGCGTGAGTGTTAGTTTGAGTCGGTTTAAGCTAGAACGGGCAACAACAAATTACTTTTACTTTTACTTTTACTTTTAGATATACTTTTACTTTTACTTTTACTGTTCATTGATTGTTTTTTATTTTATCATATACATACGTCTCTAAAGAGATGATTTTGGTGGTGCTGATTTGGATGAAGTTGGTGGTGCTGTAGTGAGTTAACAACAACGCTAGTGGTGCTGGTGTTGGTGCAACCTGCGGTCGCCTGTAGTTGCTGCAGTTGCTGTTGTTGTTGCTGTTGCTGTAGTTGAAATTGTTGCTGATGCTGCTGCTGTTGGTGATGCTGATGAAGTTGTTGCTGCTGTTGCTGCTGCTGCTGCTGCTGTTGTGCTGTTGGTGCATTTGGTTGTGCTGCTGGTGCTGTGGTGCTGTTTGTTGGTGCAGTGACGAGCATATTGGTGTTGGTAACATGCCCCAAATGCGGCGGTGGCGGTGGCACCTTTAAGCCGCCATTCAATAAAAAAAGTTGTTGATGTGCTGTTACTGCGGCTGCTGCTGCTGCGCCTGCTGCTGCCGTTGCTGTCTTGCTGCTATTCATGAGCGATATCTCGTTAAGCATCTTCGTCTTAGCATACTCGATGCGTATGGAGCCACGGTCCGAGCTGAGCAAATACTTGCCCTGCAGCTGCTGCATGGCCTGAGCAGCGCTTGTTGCATCGCTGAACTCAATAAAAGCGACCGGATGTTGTTGTTGTTGTTGGCCAGAGTTGCTGTTGCTGCTGCTGGTGTTGGTATTGCAGTTTGTAGCTGCTGTCGTAGGCAATTGGTTGACAGTTGCAGTGTAGGAAGTTGAAGTTGGTGTTGGAGAAGTCAGAGTTGAAGACAAAGTTGGAGGCATAGAAGATGTGATATTGTGCGTACCTTTTGTGTGCATTCGTAGGCGACAAAAGCCAGGCATACTGTGCATATTGATAACATATTTGGTTTGCATATATACGATATACGATATACGATATATATAGATATATAGGTATATGAGTAGTCGGTTATCGATATTTCATGTACAATACAAGTGTTGGGCAACAAACGACAAACCAAAGAAAGAACGCATTAAAATTTATTGATTAGTCTTTGCAATTAGTTAGAATTTCAAGAAAAATTGTGGTGCATTTTTTGTTGGTGGTTATTGGTTGTGGTGGTGGTGGTTTAGTGTTACTAATATTTTAATTTTTTTTTTTTTTAGTGGGTGGCTGCTGTGGTCAACAGTGGTGCAGTTTTCGCTCAACAACTCAAACTTTGTAACGTGTTTACGTGTGTGTGAGTGAATCTTATTTTGTTATTGGTTATCCTTTAGCTTATACCGCTAATAGTTCTATTATTAAATCATAGTTCAAGCCATTCATTTACCTAGAGAAAACCTCCTTGAGCTCGTGCTCGGACACAAACTGGCCCAGATTGGCCACAAACAGCGTGGAGCAGGGCGCATTCGCGGCTATCTGTGGATTGGCCGGGTGTGCGGCGTTATTCGTGGAGCCGGCGGGGCTAGCCAGCGCGGGACTGGATAAAAAATGATGATGCGATGCGGCAGCAGCAGCGGCGGCGGCGGCAGCAGCTGCAGCTGCTGCATTACCCGCAGCGCCTTGAGGCGCCGCAGCAGCAGCTGCACCTCCACCACCGCCGGCAGCGGCAGCAGCGACCATGTGCGCCATGGCCGCCTGCTGGCTGGGATGTAAAGCGGTAGCAGTTGTCTGATGATGTGGCATTGCCATTTGAGTCTGCAACATGGAACAGTGGGCAACAAGCGAGCAATTAATACTGTGATTGACTGTGGTTTAGCTGCTCTTCTGTACTCACTTGATGCATAGGCTGCTCCATTACTTTGTCTGTATTTAGTCAGAGATAGGAGCGGACGGGCACCTGCGGATGCAGTGCCGGATGCACGAGTGTTGCATGCTGCAGTGCAGCGGCGCCGGGCAGCTCAGCGGCGGCGGCGGCCGAATACGCTAACGGATGATGCCATAGCTCGGGTCCGCCCGGAAAGAACGGCCCGCCCAGATCTAAGAGAAAAGGGAGTAGAAATCAAGAGATAGAGAGAGAGAGAGAGAGAGAAAGAGAGAAACGAGAAATCAGTTCAGCGCCAATTTTTTGTGTTTAGTTTTTGTTAGAATCATTTTTTGTTCTTGTTGGTTTTTGTTTTTTTTTTACCTATTTTTTGTGAGTGACCAACAAAAAGTTTACTTTACAAAATGAAAATCGACAACAAAAAAATGTATATAATCTTTCGAGTTCGTTACCTAAGTCTTTTGTTTTGCTGTCGGCTGTCGGCGATGGAAACCAATGGAATTTAAATATTTTGTCGAACATAAGAAACGTAATAAATATTTTAAATATCGTAAATGTGTCTTAAGAAGGCTTGAACATATTCTTAGAGATATTTCTGGGCTTGAAAACTTGCAAGCAAATTTCTTTTAAATTTGAGAATTCGGTACGCTATTTTTCTTTTGACTGAGCTTTTTGTGAAGTATCTCACGGATTGTGTGTGGCTGCGTGTGTGAGTGTGCGTGTTTGTGTGTGTGTGTTTTTAGTGGTGTGTAATTCAAACAAAGTGTTACAGTGATCAAAGTGCGTTACATAATATCATAGTTGTTGTTTTTGTTGTTGTAGTTCTTGTTGTAGTTGTTGAGGTGTTGCTGTCACCTATGTAAATATTTATAGCGAAATTTAGTTCGGGCGTACGCTAATAGATAACATTTGATATATATAGCAATATATTCGATTCTTATATATGTATGTATAATATTATAGAGTGTGCACTTGAAGCAAATTTCAACTGTTCAATTGTTGGATTTTGTTGTTGTTATATGTATGTATGTGTGTGTGTACGTGTCGAGATAATTAGGAAGTGCACTGCGTACGCTTTAAAGTACGCCTTCGGTTCGTTAGCTCGAAGAAGTATTTGTGTTTTTTTTTTTTTTGTTATTAACTATTAACTACATACATAAACCAAAAGAATAGATTAACCAAAAGAAAAAAGAAAGAAAACTAGCAGTTGCTGAGTTGAGATTTTCCTTTTCTTTTTTTTTTTAATTTTTCAATTTTTTTTTTTACTTACGTCCAGTGAGTGGGTGCATCAATGCAGGATGTGAGGCTGTTGTCGCTGTATTGGGCTGTGGTTTGGGTTTGCTCACTTTCGTGTTACTCTTGGCGAATTCCAAGCGAATTGTTTGGGGCATATCGGGATCGAAGCGTACACCCTGCTGTAAATGATCAGATCAAAATACAGCGGTTTGAATTTTTTTTACATTTTTTACTCTTGCAAGAATAATAAAAGTGTTTTTGGATTGAATTTCTTTACTTTTATTTTGGTTTTTATTCAACACTTTTCGTACTTTTTTAATTTCTATTATATAATTCTTTAAATTGCAACAATTCGCCAAAAATAAGTTTGAATGTCGCATAACTAGTGTTAAAAGAGATATGGAGTTGACAGCGAGCGAGAAGAATTTGCGCTCTCTTAACTTGTTCCCTTTGTCTTTTGATTGGGGACATAAAAACCAACTTGGCTCTTGGGCGGTGCTTACAAAACGCTGAACTGCTGCTTTGAGTGTTGCCTTTGTGTGGCTGCTCTTTTTAGAATGGGTTAGGGGCCAATTGAGTATGTGTGTGTGGTTGTATGTGTGTGTGGTTTTATCTCTTGTGATATGCAGAGAAATCAAAAGCAGGAGATGAGTACAGCAACTGCATAGGAAGAGCACCTATGAGTGGAACGTTGGGGGAAGCGTCATTCAGGAAATTCAGTGCCAACAGGTGCTGCCTATTGAGTAGAGGGGGGTGGCATTGACATGCACCAGCCAAATATATTGTGGGCTAGAAATATTATTTTTATATATATTTTTTTAAAGGTTCTTGTTTTTGGTGCTTCATTGCCTCATTGCAGTTGCTAGTATACATATGAGAGAGTGTAGTGTGTATATGTGTGTGATGGTGTGACAGAGAGAGAGAGAGAGAGAGAGAGAGAGAGAGCGAGAGATTGAGAGGGAGAGAGAGAGAGATGTTTTCTGAGATTGAGATGCAATACCAAAAATAATAAGATAGAAAAATCAAGTAAGGAAAGACTTAAATGTAAATGCGGTGAGGGATCTTTCAAAATGCAAGCACGTGTGAAAAGTACATCTTGCTGTTGTTGTTGTTGTTTTTGTTTTTGTTGTTACTGTGGATTGATTGAGATACGATTGTTGTTGTTGAGGGCCTTACGGTTCTTAACGCTCAGTGTAAGCCAGGCAATAATATAAGTACAAGTTTTGGTTTTCTGTGCTTTACAATCTAAGTGTAAACGTTTTTGGAACGCCGAAAAGTTTGTATATTTATTGCCGTTTGGGAAGGTCTTTTTATTTTGCAGACGTTGCTAAGAATTTTTGGTGTTGATCGATTATTTTATATATATATATGTATATAGTTAGGGAAAATATTAGGTAATATAAATATATATAGTCGTAGGCAAATTTGCCATTATATGTTACCTGCAGATCTTGTTTGGCTGCCTCGGCACCGGCTCTTGTATGGAATGTTACGAAACCAACGGGCTGTGGTTGAAGATGAAGGATTTAATATATAAACAACTTACTTCTCTATATTTTTTGTGTATCATTTACTTACCGATGCTGTTTTGCCATTTTTGCTAGTTACTTTTAGTAGAGATCCTTCATAGCCCTGTTAGAAAAAGTTGGGAATGTTTTTTGATTTTATAATTGATACTTGAAAAACATAGATATATGTTTTAATAGGCTCACATACATTTTGATTTCTTATACTATACTAGTTTACTACCTAGCAGTTCTTTCTATTTCAATATAAAAACTTTTATAGTAATGAAAAATTTGTAGCAAACATTATTAAATTGTTAAAATAGAAATTAAAATATAGAAAGGAAATAAAAAAAATTCAAAAATATTAAGTTTAGGAAATTCAAATATCTATATTAATTTATTGAAATTGATTTACTTTTTTTAATTATTATTTATAAAATAATCCTAACGATACATCATAACACGTTAACAGCTTGAAGAACTAACAATAGAAATTGGCTACCCTCAAGTGTTTTGCTCTACGTATCTTTGAATCCAATTAAGGTATATAAATGTGGCCGTCGCTTAGAAAGTTTTTCTTACGGATTACTCACCTCATATGCTCTGAAAAGCAAATATAGCTCACGTGGCTTGGCATCCATGGGCAAGCCACTGACGAAAAGTGTGCGCACCTGCAAGAGACAAGAGAGAAAGAGGATAAGTGTGAAGAGATACAGTTAACAAATCTATATAATGATTTTTTTCAGTTTTTTGAGAGAAACCAATTTCCTATGATTGCGTAATTAAGTTAATGCTGTCACGTCGCATGAGAGGATACAAAAACGGACCAAAAACCTCCGGCCTCCATTTCAATGTGTCAAATATTTAAATTTCGCTGCCGCCCCAAGCCAAAAAGTTCATGTCACGCACACACACCCAAATACATATGCAAACCAGCTTGCATGTGTGTGCGGGTGTATATGTGTCCGTGTGTGTGTGTCATTGTATAGTGATAATGAAAGCAAATGGAATAAGCGCCATAAACGCTGAATTCATTAAGGCAACGACGTGACGCGCAGGAATAGCAGATGTGCTAGGGAGAGAGGGGTGAGCGAGAGTAAAGGGGCCTTGTGTGGTGGGGGAGGGGGTGGACTAATGAGCCTTGTCGCACTTTTTTCGTCCCTTTTTATTTTTAACACCTAGGCAAGCAGATTGTAAAGGGACGAGCTGTGCAAGCTGTGAGCTGTTTTGGTTAGCTTTCCTTTTTTTCCTTTTTTTTTATACCCGCACTGGAAATTTAGAGAAAGCTCCATAAAAAGCTTTGTGTGGTTTAGGGTAAAGCAGTTAAAATTTGTTTAAATATAGGTGTACGACACAGTTAGAGGCTGACCCTGGAATTACCTTTTTATTTTGTAATTAAATGATCTTTTAATGTTGAACTTTAGAGTCAAAGGGTTAAATTTAATGACTAAAAACTAAATTGGACACAATATAAAATTATTATCGTATATATATATAACCATATTTAATAATAGTTTTCCAACTATTATTGCCAAAGTTGGAAAACTATTATTAAATATAGTTATACTTAATTGACATAATATATTAAAATATTATATTAAATTTATTTTTAGTGTTAATTTCATGTACATTAAAATATAATGTAGCAATTTTTGATATTATGTTCTAGGAAAAATATTTATTGCGTTCAATAAAAATTATATTCAATTGAAAAAAATGTTTAAATGGAACAGTTTAATTTGGTGAGTGAATTGACTATTTAATAATAAATAAAAAAAGCCTTAAAAATATTAAGCCAAATTGAAAAATGTTGGATCTAGAACCAACGAATGAACTTTATCTTTAAACATTGGGTATGAATATATTGCGAACAGTTTTAGTCTGAACTCCCTCGTCTCCAGAGACTGACAGATGTTGTGTGTATGTGTGTTATTCTGTTTTAAAATTGAAACGTGTTCTATCGTTAAATCTTGCATGTTAGCCGGCTGCCAGAGCAGGTGTATAGAAATAGCTAAGCTTGTACATGTAGCACATTAATAGTCCTAGTAGTCAAAGCTGCTGCAGTTGCGGACTTAAAATTGTCCAACCGCAATTTACAAATTAATTAACCCACTCAAAGGCTGGGCAGCACAATGAAAAACAATAAAAAAGGCAAGAAAATGAAGTGAAATCCTTTGACGTTGTTGGCGCTGCCAAGCTGCCAAAAAGGATCTGCAAACGTCACGCTCAGTTAAATAGCAATTAAAATTAATTTTTGCGCAGTCTGTGGCTGCAAGTTTCCCGCTTCTCCTGCAATTGCGGGTCCGCTAATTGGACGGGTAATGAGCTGAGCCCGTACCCTGTCCGATGGATGAGTCGCGACCAAAAATAAAAAACAATAAAGGATAAGAGAATAGACCTAAAAAGTTGCAGCAAACTGAGCCAACTAATTAGAAAGCAGTGGCTGCCCACTGAAATTTAATTGCGGTTACAATTTCTGTTGCAAATGGCATTGAAATGCAATTATAATATCTTTGGTGTGTGTGCGTGTGTGTGCTACAGCTCAAGCTGGTGGCATGTCCCGCTGCACAAATATGCCAAGAGCAAACAACAGGCTAGGGAGACGCCCAGAGAAGAAATGGAACTCTGCTAGACATTCAGTTGCATTGCCAACCACAAAAGTCAGTTAGCCAGAGCCAAATCAGCCATAGACGTGGCTACATGTAAGTTGGCTGTATAAGCCCTCCCGTCCTTCTCTTTCTCTCTCATACACTATATCTCTGCATCTTGTTGTCGTATGTTTGTCTTGTGTGTATTTTGGCCACTGCGGATGCACATTAAACATTTTGGCAAACACATCCAGCGCAGTAACCAGTTCCCAGTTCCCATTTGCCAGCTCCTAAATGCTATCCCTAAGAACCATTTGCCCAGGCCAGTGGCCGCTCTTTTATATGGCACATATGTTGGCAACTATATATTGCAATTGAGGTTGTGTGGGTGTTTCGGGTTTGTTTCCAGCTTACGTTGCCAAAATCCATTTAAATACAGTAAATGTCATGAAGTTGCAGTTATATGTGGAAGTTGTAAGTGTTGCTGGTCAACCTTGCAACTTAGTTGCCTGCGCTTGGCAATGATTTTGATACTCCAACCCTTACCTCTCGTGCCTGTTTGTTTTTGTGGCTGTGTAGCTGCTGTTGGCTCTGCTGCTGCTGCTGCTGCGGTTGCTATTATTGCCAAGAAGTTGGCAGTTGCTTTGGGCTCGCCACCCACACCTCACTCGCATTGCGTTTAGCCACAATGGCTTGCTTTGGTTCTGTTTCAGAGTCAGTTTATGTTCTGGTTGTATTACAATTCTTGTTTGTAATTAGGCGCTTCATTTCAGCAGACTTGTAGTTAAAAGTTTCTTACGCATACTTAATATCAAATTGCACATATGCAAATATCACGCATACGCAATGTTGCTGTATTGACTTTCCGGTCGAAAATCAACTGACCAAACAGCTAGTTGTTGGCCTTGTCTTGTCTTTTGGCCTATTGTAAATCACTCAGTAGTCAAGTGTTGACTTACAATAATTAAGCGTGACACACACACACACACACGCATGCACGCACACACACCCAAATATAAACTGTTTATAAAGCGATCATAATCGCCGAGTCGATGTTGTGGGCTTGCCCCGGCTGAGTCTTGGTATGCGCAGCGCCGGCTGAGAGGCGTTAAATTGCAAGCGCTTGTAAATTGTCAAACAGCTGACAAAACGACACGAAAATAGAGAGGCTATAGAGTCAGCCACAAATCGCAAGTGAACAGCGTTCGCAAATATTTAAATAGTTGCAGGGATTGTTGTTGTTGTTGTTTTGTGTTGCATTTGTTGCGCGTCAACGCCAACATCAAACATTTAACATTGAAACAGCTTTTGTTGTTTGACTTTTATCGGTTCGGCGGCATTTGCACAAAGTATTTGCGTAAATATTTTTATGTAAATAATTGGCAATTAAATTAATTTATAAATGCATTATAGTGTGTCTGTCTGAATGGCCGCCAAATTTAATTGATAAAGTAATGCACGTAAAAAGCCAATTAATCGAGTTGTTCATTTAAGTAGCAAATGCCTTAAGCTTAGAGCTTAGAGACAGCTGTAAAAAGCAACTAAAAACAAGTATATATACATATCCGCAATTCGTGTACTCTGCTTTAAAATACCCTTGTTTATGTCTCGCTCTCTAAGACCTACATTCTAGAAGAGAGCTTCAGTAAAACAGACTACTTCCAGCTTCACATTTTTTTGCCAACATTTTATTTTAAAAATTTAAAATGTGAATACAGCATGGCAATTATTTTATTTCAAAAATTTGTTTACCTAAGCAGCTTAGTAGTTTTCAATTCTTGAAGATTCTTGTGCGTAATTTGTCTGCCCATCGTTGGTCAAGTGAATGTCGAAGTAATTGGCATAATGCATAATAATAGTCAGCAATTTCCGCAATAAGTAAATATTTCTTTACTGCAAAAGTCTTGGCCAACAATGCATTTAAATCAGCTAGCTGTTGGCGGATAGCTGGGCCAACCTACCCTTCTCCCTCCAACCTAACGCCAATTAAGTCGAGCGTCGAGTCAACTAAATGCCGCCAGCTACGAAGTTAACTGCAGTTGCTGTTTTGTTGTTATTGTTGGCATTGTTGTTGCTGCAGTTGCCATTGTTGTTATTATGTTAGTTTGTTGTTTATTTAGTTTGTGTATTGCTTTGCTGGTTTCTTTTCCTTTCGGTCCAAGTAGCAAGTCAAATCGTGAAGTGCAACAACAAGCATTGAAAAGAACTCAAGCCCTCGGGCTGGACACTGCAACAAAAAGTCGCTCATGCTGCGGCAATTGTTATAGCTACACTATAGATAAGCGCTGTGCCAAACAATATACAGGGGACAAAACGGAGAGAGAAATATTAATATTAAAATTTATTTCTTCGTATTTGAAAGTTGATAACACACATATTTTTAGTTCAATTATTAAAATGTTCTTCTGAGTTTCAATTCTGTTTAGATTATATTTAAGATCTATTTTATAAGCTAAGCCCGGTAGTTTCTAATATATATTCGAATTTATTCATCATTCTTGATGCAAGAAGTTTGACAATCCGTACAGGAGAAAACCCTCGTTGCCCGACCTATTCTTGAGTTTACCTCATCCCTGAAATATTCGATTGATCAGGATCAAATTTTATGTGTATTGAAACAATTCTTGTTATATATTTTCAGATATAGTAAAGATATCACTGGATTTACAAAAAAGGGATTATCGATAGGTTTTCACTGCTATACAAATTTTGCAATACCAACATATATTGTTGCTTAATCAATCATTTCAGGAAACTATGCCCAAGATAAAAATGTATGGAACTAAACACCCTTAACTATCGATAGTGCAAGTGATGGAAATTGTCACAACTATCGCTTATTGCGATTAGGAAGTATATATTTGCTTAAGCTGAACTTTAATCTTAGGTGTCGGTTCGTATTGTTGCTTAATACTTCTATCTCCAATCTTCAACTCTCTGCAGCGTAAATTGCTCACACAACTTGTGGTTAAACTCATTTTCTCTTCTGTATTTAGAGCATTGTGAATTCAATGTAGAGCTGGAGCGTGCTCTACTAAATGTGTATGGCAAGTGAGTGAGTGAATACTAAATGTTGCAATTGT